CTTCAGGTGAACGAGCTACTCTTCACATACACGAGTATTCCCCTTCGTTCAGTGCTTCTAAAGGTTCATGCCACAGCCTTGGAAGAAGCAATGTCTATCCATTCCTTCTCAATCCATCTTTTCCATTTATCAAGGTCCTGGTGACTCCAAGACAGCATTCTCTCCTCCACCTTCAGCAGCACTGTTAGTCACTAACACTACGACAGGCAGCTTCTGCCCAGCTACCCAGGCTCTAAACACAATAATGCTCGGGCATCCTGGCTACAACTGCAGCAATAGATGCTCAGGAACGTTCCCAGGCCAGGGAACACGGTTTGTCCATTCTTCTAACTGGATGAAACAGTCCCTGGCGTGTTTTTAGCCTGTGAAAACTTGCACTTCTCCAAAGTGTTCCCAGGCAGGGCTCAGGAGCCAGAGCCCAAAAAAACTCACATGCAGCTACTCTGGCTCCCAGGGAAGAAGGGTTGCTCAGAGAGATGCTGCCTGCTCCAGGCCAACTGGCCTCATTACCAGAAACTGCTCCTAGGTATGTTCAATTTACTAGTTCAGACAAAACCTTGAAGACGCTGAGATCAGGGCTGATGACCCAGGTATGCTGGATGGAGTCTTATTCAGTACTAATGAACTGATTCCTTTCTACTCATTTGAAGCATTTAGTATTCATACTTACCATTAATAGCGCCGATGCCTTGGAGGTATCTATTTTACAGGTTATCAGCTATCTATTTTGAATTTAAATGTGAGCTACTTTAAATTCTCACCATGCATATCAGACCTCTTTTTTTTTCACCCTAAAATGACACCAATGCCTCAGGCTACTGCAGGCTCTTCATACTTAATGCTGCTATAAAGCATCCCAGGTCCTGGTAAAATGCAAATCCAGTAACATTGAGGTTATTTTTAAGCCAAGAATTTGCACTATGATTCATTTAATCAGTCCCTACTCTTCCAAGGCTGTTTTATGCTAGTATTTTTCTTATTTCAAAATTCTCTAAAATAAGCATTCTGGTCCTGTCCGAGGCTGATTGCACAAACCTTGAACACACAGTACCTAAACAGCAGTTAGTCAGTTAAATCACTTAATATTGTGACTGTTACTCTTTTGGGAAGATTACTCTTTTGGGAAGATAATTATCCTAAAGAAGCCTTCAACTTTTGGGGTGCAGCTGCAGGAATTTTAAAAACAGGTAGAAAGATTAGGAGATTTTAACAGAGTTCTTTCTTGCAGGAAGCAACACTCCCTCCTGCTATACTTCCTCTTGCCTCTGCTAAATAAGCGCTACAGTTTCATTTCCGTGGCCAGGCTCAGAAGGCAGCACACTCAGTGCTGTCCAGCGCTGCACAGATTAGTGATGGCAACACAAGTATTGGTATCTCCAGCACCCTGTGACCTACAGATACCTCCTAAGACTTGTTGCTTTTACTTCCATCTTGAGAACTGCATAGGCAAAAGAAGGAGATGGCAGGAGAAGAGCAAGTCAGGAAGAAATGCTTTAGTCCCTTGCTCCACAGTGATGGACAGACATCTGTGGAACAGCCTTTTCAAGGCTGGACAACAGACCAATACTAATCAGACTTGGGCAACTGGACCACCAAGTTGTACCACTGTTCAGCAATGCCTCTGCACAACTTGATTTTAGATGTGGAGAGCAGCCAGGGACCTCTTAAGGCAGAAAGGTTCTAAGTCCCCCGTGAGGGGGAAAAAAACAATCAAACAAAAACAAACAAAAAAACCCACACTACTTAAATGACCGAAGAGATTGGCTATGTGTCTGTATTATATAAAAGAACTGGAATGTTTTACATACCACCAGCATTTTTTTTTCCTCAAAAATAATTATGAAGGATTTGGGGTGCCTAATTCTGCTTCCAAGTCATATCAGACACTAAACTGTACTGCGAGCACCACTGAACTTGCAGTTCGTTCCTGTTCTTAAATGTTTTGAGGCTCTCAGCCTTTTAACTACTGAACTTTGACATACAGATCACAGTAACAGCAGCAGAACAGAACAAAGAGAAGGGAACTGCAACTGAAGCAGAAGCTTAACCCAAAGCAGTGAACTGTATGTTGCTGGTATATTTTTATTAAAAGGAGAGGAAAAGGATGTTATACAGGATTAAAAACACTTCTGCAGGGGGGAAGTGGAAGAAAGCGAGACAATCTTCAAAAGAAATGACCCAAAGAGAAAAATCTCTAATAATTTATTTACCTTCAGTTTCACATTGTGAAAAAAGCAAGTTTTACAAAACCTTAAGATGTAGTAGCAAACAAACAAACCATACACAACACAGACATTTTACTTCTTCACTTGTACAGTTTTCTTTTAGTACGTGAACCACATCTTCAACAGCCAGGAAAGGGAACATTATTCTGCTCTAATCACTCTTATTCAGACAGGTGTCAGACCTAGAGAAAAGGGGCTACACAATTATACCAGGAGAGGAAGGCTGTCCTTTGTTGTACGTTTCTACAGCAACCAGCCTGCAAAATACGAGGAACCTTCTCGTCTCATGCCAAGGTTTTTGTGTGCACTCCACTGTGAATTGCATTTGCTTGAAAGTGTGCCGTGTTTCTTAGGACTGGAACAGTCAAGTAGCTACCCAGGATTTCCACATCAATTCAGAAAGCAAGAGCCCAGCATATTCCCTGCAGAGCCACAGGCCCACCCTGCCTTCTGCTTCCCTCAGCCTACACACAGGAATTAATTGACGACTTGAAAGCCGACCACAGCTCTGGAAACAGGTGCCGAAAATTCATCCTCCTTTAGGAAGTTGCATGGTGCTAGCAAACAGAATTGTGTTGCAAGCTGAATAGACACAGAACAGCTTCACGTCTGGGCTGCAGGCAGTTTGATGGAGAAAACAGGTCTTGAAGCTACATGCCCTTGCTTAAGCAAGGGGTCCCCTAGGGACCTGTTTCTTCACTTCCTTGTAGTTCACACAGTGACCAATGCCTGGGAAGAGCACATGCAAAACACAGGAAATCTGATTTTATGGCTCACTTTGCATTCACAGGAGTGATGCACAAGATGAAAGGCAATAACAATTCGATCTTGTTTACTTTAATAGGACAATCTGTGCAAGTAAAGGGTTACAGTTAAGGTGTTTCTACATTGCTTAAAATCCATGTAAGAGAAGAGAACCAATTCTGAGAAGGCTGTGAGTTTAACCACTATAAAAATATATTCTTTCAACAGAACAATCTAACCAGAGGAACTATAATTTTAACTGTTCACATCTAGCTGGGCCTTACCTTGAGAAAAAAAAAAAAAAGCCATTTCCTTCAATAATAAGCAGTGTTCTCCCAGTGCTTGCACAACTCCAAATATCTGATTTCTGAAATGTAAAGGTCTATGTATTCCAAACAGCAGTCAAACGTAAGGCAGCATAGAGAAATTTTCAGTGACCAGTGTTAATACTTCAGATGATAAAGTTTTCACAAATACAGCTACACCACTGTCACACAAAGGCAGGCATCACCAATGTGACTATTTCTGTTTTGCATGCACACATGCAAACTTTTTACTTACACTGTGGCATACAACAACCATGGTACTGAATGCACCAGTTAAATTGGGCTCTATAAACACTTTGGAAAAAAGCACAATACGATACATGCTTCATAACAGAATCTGGCAAAGAAAGCATCTGTGAAACATAAGCTTCTGAAATCCAGAGGAGGAAGAGTAGCTTCATATCTGTCTCAAAACAGGGCTGATAAGCAAGCAAATTTCTTTATAAAATTAAAGTTTGGCTTCTCAAGATTGTACCTGATACTTCTGAGCACCCAAATATTTCAAGACATACCTGGCTATGGAAAACAAAAGACAGCAGAATTTGAGGACTATTTCTAAGATTAAGAAGCATCAAATTCATTTTCTATCCTCATGATATAATGCTTGGGAGTTTGACACCTCACCACTCAGCTACCCCTCTTAAATCCAGAGAATTAAGACTACCCAGCCAGTGCAAAATTGCTGTTCCGCCTTTTTTTTTTTTTTTTTTTTTAAGACTTCATCACTAACCTATCTTAAGTGTTTTGTTCTCATTATTGAATCAGGCATATTCTACTCACTCAGGTCAATGTGGCTATATCGTAAGTACCCCACCCTTTAACCCAATAAATAAATAAATAACTTTGGACAATGACTTCATCTGGGCTTGGTATCCAGAAGCTATTCCACAGTATTTGTGTTGCAATCAGGAAGCTGCACAAAGAGAGAGCTGTAAGTGATTTGGGCTATTTCCAGACTAGAAATTCAAAGGCAGGAGCAGCAAATGAAATGTAGCAAGGACACCATCTACAAGACACCCCACATGCAACCTGGGGAGCTGGTGGCCTGAGAAAGTGTCCTCCATGGCTTCTTCCTTTAGTATGGGTGTAATTTAAGATCCTGCCTTGTAATCCTTCCATTTCTGACTGGGAAGCCACCCCTCTCTCCCACATCCAGCCACTACTCAGTTTTCTTCCTTTGTGCAGCAGAGCAAGTTAGAGATCACAAAATGTGCAAAACATACAACAACTCACACAAGCCCTGACCACATGTAGACAATTGCAGGCATTGTTTCAGCATGCAAGCACGGAACAATAAATAACTGCATCTACAACAAGTAACATAACAGGAAGGGGCCAGTCCAAATTACTTATAAATACACGGAGGGAAGGGAACAATAAGCCTTTCGGGGACATCAGTTTCGTTCCCCACTGTTGCAAAATACATCAGGCTGCGCAGTTCTGTACCAACGAGGAGGTTACTCAGTGCCCAGAGGACATCACAATGCGGGCACTGCCCACGGCCGTGCTCGCCCCACAACAGGGGCTCTGCAGCATCTTTGCACGCAGTGACCCTCTGCCTGGGGCCCGTGCTCAAGAAAAAGAGAGAGAGAGAGAGAGAGAGAGAGAGAGAGGGGCGCTGACCACTGCGGATTTCGCACACAAACAGCGGAGTCCATGAAAATTGAGGGTTGTGTGCTGCATAGCTCACAGAAGCTGAGCTTTCTTCTCTGTTGAAGGACTGATTAATATTGGCATTAATCCACATTTATCAACACAAGGAGCAGATCATAGGTTCATTCATTCATTCATAAACCATGTGTTGAAGACTGAAGACAGTGTTTTCCTCCTGTTCCTTCATGTAGAGATTAGATAATTTACAAGGTGCAGATGGATTTTCTTCAAATGCCGAACGATTTTTCTTCATTAAAACCGTTTCTCCAGATTTGAGGTTCCAATTTTCTTCTCCAAATAATGGAGTATAACTAAAAGAATGAGAGAGGGAGGATAAGAAAAAAAAAATAAAAAAGACTTCAAGAGCTTTGCTGAGACAGTATTGCATTAGGTTTTTGTTAGATGTCAAAGAAAAGCTACAAACTAGGTTTAGGACACAATCCAGTTCACAAGTTTCCCTCCCTTCCATCCACCCCCAATTTAGTGCCCCTGTTTAATAGACAACTACTGATAAATAAGCCAGCCAAGTACATAGTTAGGTCAGATTCTGCCTTTACTATTCAACTAGCCTTACCCTGCAAACCATCAAACCAAACCCAGAAAGACTATTTGACTTTTTTTTTGATAAAAAGAAAGGAAGTCAAATTGCATCAGCCTAATACTGAGTCTGATGGACTCCGCATCTTACTCTATGCTCCCCCCCAAAAATGTACAAGTTTGTGGACTGTTTAAGTGAAAATAACCTCATATGACTTTTTCCCACAAAAGCTCATTTAAACATATAGTGCAGGGAGTTTTTTAATATATCCCTGGACCAAGACAAACCTGGTTGGAGTAAAACAGAAGGGGACAGAAAGGTGTCTCACACCAGTGCCTACATTCACCATTAGGAACTCTCAACTGACTTTATTCACTATATAGAGAAGGCATATTAATCCCCTTAAAATTTCCCTGCTATTTGTTACAGCAAAACTCTGCCTCATTTCTTTTCACACAGCAATGCACCATGCGCCAATGCCATCCTAAAGTACTCTATAAAAATAGATTAGGCAATGGAAAACTCAGCCCATGGACATAGAGACTGTGCTTTTCTTTTATTATGAAGCTGTAAACCATCATCCATTTATTGGGATAATTGCTGACAGCTCTGCTAGAATTTTGAGGGGCAAACCCTACACCATTACAAAGCATAGGTGCTCCAGTGAATTCATGGTTCATTTGGTTATGCCACATATCTGTCAGGTTGGGATGGATGTCTAAGAACAACAGGAAATACAGCAGCCTACTTAACAACCCCAAGAATCAAGTCTCTGCCATTGTGGGCTTGAAAACAGACAATCTTCATTATTTCCAAAAAAGTTTTCAGCACTTAGTGTTGATTAGTCTTTTCTAGACATTCCTCGGGGTACCATGTCATTTTTCCCACTGAAGTGTACATATCAACACTGAAGCCAAAACAATGTTTCCTGTCATGGGATGAATTTGGGAAAAAAAAGTTACAAATAATTCCAAGGAGGAGGAAAAAAAAAAAAAAAAAAAATCCAACCTACTCCAAAGCCCCAAGTTGAGGAAAGGGACAAAGCTGACTAAAGTCTTCCCAAAAGCAGTCTGACTGGGGCCACACAGCACCATGAAAACAGACGGTAATCAGAAGTAATTTCCTTTTTCTCTCTCCCACCCACTGACAAAGCAGCAGGAGTCATAGAGAAAAAACTTTCTGGATGAGCACACAGCACTGGAGAGAATTCAGTTTACGGTTGCCTTCATCCAGTTATCTAGTGTGTTATTGAAGCAAAAATAATGGCACTTAACAAGATACTGCAAAGCATATTACATTTTTTTGCAGGGTTATAGTCTGAAGACTATCTTTCAAAATAAAACAGCAGCTTATGTACTGTAAACTTTAGAAAAATTAAATCAGTCTCAGAAGAATAAGTCAATATTTTTCTTGGCACAGACCTGAGTATGAGCATTCAGTACTACTGTTCTGATAACACTGAAAACTGCTGAAAATGAGTAAGAATAGAAACTGACTGAGGATTTAAAGATGTCATCCCCAGTTAATGAGGAAGTCATCTCAAAGAAATCAAGGTTTCTATTTGCTCTCTATCAGGGAGCTGTGATTATTGCCCAGCATTCAGGATATGGTAAATCTCAAGGGTTTGAGTTTGCATGGAATCCAGAGCCCTGCTTACACAAGGATAAGCCTGGGAAAAAAACAAAAGGAAAGGAGACAGAGCAATTTCTCAGATGGTTATTCTAGTTGGAGAAGGTTAAAAGCACAACACAGCCCACTTCCACACTGGATTTCTACTCTGATGAGTTACTTCGCGTGGGTCCAACGTAGTAGTGCTTAATGAATCAAAACTCCTGATCAGCTAGCTAAAAGTCAGATTGCATGATTAATCCTTGGCTTTTCCACAGAGTAATTTCACAACTACTGTTGTATGTCTAGGTATATATTTACACCTACACTGCTTCAAATTGATTTGGGTTTCATACTTTTACTGCAAGAGTTAGCGCATGTCTCCAGCTGCTAATAATACCCCCCAAAAATAGGATTTGTTCCCAAAAGGAGAGCCTAAGGAGTTTTAAACACAAGCTGCTCTTTTTTTCCAGAGAAACAACATCAGTCTGAATTTCTAGGTAACTTATATGCAAATGCAGAGCTCATTTAATTACTTCAACTGCATTTGCTTGGCCTGTTCCTTCTAACCTGCCTCAGTTCATGGTCACAGTGTACACTGTTCAAATCCAAAAATAAATTACCCCTCACAGATGATGGATTATTTTGGATTAAGCTTGCCACTACGTTTCTTTGGTTAGCTTGTTCTAACTATGATTATGCACTGAAGTCTCAGATGAATTAGGCTGGGGGAAGAATACAACACTGGAGGAGGTCTGCCAGATTTGTTACAGAATAACTAAATTAATACCTCTGGAAAATGTCAATGACTTATTCTAAGTGATGTAATTCTGGAAAAGATAAAAAATCAGAAGAATTAGAAATAGCTGAAAAAATAGGCTAGCTTGTGTACACATCTACCATACTTGCAGACGCTCAGCTTTCTTTAGTGTTTCTGCATCAACTTTTTCTCCTCGATTCCCAAAATTCAAGAACGCATAACAATGAAACAAGCAAGGCCCATTCAGACATGCTCATGAGGAGATACAATGCTGAAGTTGCATCTGGTGAGAGCTTGGCCCATTATGTATAATTAAATTGTTTTGGAACAGTGTGTGCTATGGACTGGGTAATTATGTCAGCTGGCAATATTAATTGCATGCCTTCCTGACACTGTATCTAGTCTGACATATATGACCATAACTATTTTGCAGCATGGCAGTGGGCCACGTTCAACTCTAGTCAAGGCAGGTGCAGCCCTGGCAGTCTAGGTGAGATGGCTAAAGAGGCCTGAGGCACCTGGCAAGCCCCTTCCATAGATGGAAGACAGCACCTTTCCCTTAAGGCTGCCTGGAAATCCCAGTGATTTCACTATTAGGCTTCAAGTTGGAATTTACAACATCACTTTTTGGGCCCTCATACTGCATATAAACAGTGACCTGCACCGTATAACAAGGAAAACAGCATGTAAACCTTGTTTAGAACACATGTAGTATTTAAATGCGGAACAGGATTCGATTTCCTATAGCTTAACTCTATTTCCCCGCAAATACACAGCCTAGCCAAAAGAACATTTTTAACATTTAAATCACAGCAAAAGGGCCCATAATAGGAATTTCACGCAGGAGGCATGGCAAACTAGTTTCAATTTCTGTCTATGTCACAAATTTGATGTTTGACTTTCAACAGCCTCTGAATACACATGCCTCAGTTGTTCCAGCTATAAAACTGGATTGAATATACTCACCCTCTCCAAGAGCTGCTGTTGAAAAGCAAAACCATTATTATAGTGGAATTCAAAAGTGCTGTTTCTTACCTGGTAATTTCTAATTGCAACGTACACACAGTTATGAGGGGAGGTGCTTCCATGTGCTAACAAATGCCGTTGGAATTAATGAATAGGGCACAGTTGTTATGCTGTTCCATACATCTAACGTGGGATCATAACAGTCTAACGTTTTGCATCTCTGAATGCCAAAGTAGCCTCCAACAACATACAATTTGTTTCCAGATGCCACTGCATGGCAGCTCATTCGCTTAGCTGTCACATCTCCCACCTTAGTCCACTGGTACGTCTCACTGTTGAACTTATAAGCAGAGCATGCAGAGAACTCAGTATCTCCACCCATAATGAAGATCTGGTTCCCCAGAACAGCTGCAGCTGTGTAGCGCCAGGGCTGTGGGCAGGTGGCTGGAACTGTCCATCTGTTTTCACACTGATCATAACACTGAACTTTGGGCAGCTTGTCATGGCTAACACTGGTACCCCCAAAAGCAAAGAGCTTAAGTTTGGCGCTGACCACAGCTGCATTGCTTACTCCCTCTCGGAGTGGGGCAACCATGGTCCATTTATTGGTCACAGGGTCGTACTGTTCTACTTGCTTTAAGGATACTGAAGGCGAAGCTGGAAGGCAACCAGTTGCTGCAGTGTGTCCTCCTACTACATACAAACAGTGCTTGAGTTCAGCAGAGCCATGCCCAAATCTAGCAACCAGCATGGGAGCCGCCTTCGACCACTCCTCGTGAAGAGTGTCATACACCCACACATCTTTGGAGACGCCGTTTTCTGACCCCCGTCCTCCTGTGATATACACTTTGCAGCCGATGGCGCAAGCACTGAACTCTTTCCGGGGACTTGGGATGTCAGCCTTTGGAATGATCTCCTTTGCCTTTTGGTCCACCAGGTACAGCTTGTCACACATAAAGGTCTGGCCACCCAGAAGAAAGAGCGAATGGCCAGTTTTTCGGGGTCTGGCACACAAACTAGTGACCACTCCATCATTCTGTAAGATTTTTAACTTGCATCTTATTGACTCTTCTACAATCTCCTTGCTTTTCCTTTGTTTGGTGATAAGTTCTTCCATTGCTACATTCTCCATAAGGTATATGGCTGGCAAGAGAGCCAGTCTGACTGTCTGCAACAGCTCAGGCAGATAACAGTGCCGCTTACTCAGGTCATAGTTGACCCAGTTGAGAGCTGACTCATATACCAGCCGTTCATCTTCAGTTTCTAATTCTTCACTGGAGAGAAGCTGCACTACCATGTCTTTTGGCAGCTGCAGGAAGTCTTCACTCTTACTGATGCTCTGGAAGTTGCTAAGGCACATCCTCCAGGAGAGTTCGTAAAGCTTGGTGCACTGGTGAGCATCTGACAGCAGCAGCATGCCCAGACAGTTGGTGGGATGGAGGTTTTTTTCCAGGAATTCTGCACAAGCATCCCGAATGTCCTGGAACTCTAGCATATCGCCAGCCTCCAGCAGTGACTCTGCATTCTCCTCATTGATGATAACTCTGGAGGAATATGCATAGTCCAGAAGGAGCTCCAAGACCTCCGGGTGAATGGAATTATGGAAGTTGACTTCGCTATCCTGGCTCTCTTTCAGTCCCCCGCTGAACATGGCTTCAAAATAGCGGCTACAAGCAGCTAGGACAGCTCTGTGGCAGGGGAACGACCTGTTTCCAGCATGGAGAAGGACATCTGTAAAGAGTCGCTGTTGCCGCAGAAGGTTCAAGTGTGTAAGGACACTGTCAGCATAGGATGACTTGTGGAATAAATATATGTTTATGGAGCCAGTACTGGCCCTAGATTTGCGATTCTCATGCATGCTGACTGACATTTTCTTCCACACCTATAAATGAAGAAAAAGGTAATAAGATTGAGAAAGTTGCACTTTTTGTTATGTAAAAAGAATAATGAACATAGTTGTTATTCACTGGAAAAAAAAAGTCCTAAGATAAAGATGAGTGGACAAAGAAAGAATTGCATCTACCTTTGGCATGTGTTTATTGTTTGTAAGATGACTCTCCTAAGTGACAGACTCTAAATTTGTTGCTCAAGAGCAGGTTTATCTTGGGAAACCTGATCTCCAACTTTCATAAGAGTACAGTAAGCAAGTAAGTTGGAGGGGAAGAGAAGAGAACCAGAAATGATTTTCTCACCCTTCCCCAATCTAGTCCAGCTGATTCATTACATATGTACACATGCATATGCTTGAAACATTCTCCTGTACTGAATCATAGCAGGAAGAGCTACCAGACAGAATACCTAAGGAATGTCAAAAGCTGCATGGGGAACAAAAACCTACTAATCCCATTAGGAAGCTTCTCTCTGGTATAATGATTCCATATGCAACATCAGAGAATGAAAAAGGGAACCTTAAAATGAAAGCCTAGCAAGCAAATTTAGTTGCCAAATTTAATAATAATAAAAAGCCTCTACAAGTTAGCTGTAGTATTTTTTAATCTTAATCTTTGCCAGCATCTGCCTGCTATTGAGCCGTACAGAATACACACAGACAGAGTCAGCAGGTAGGAGCATTTTGAGTATTAGTTGAAGTCACCAAAGCATTTCTATTTTGAAGCCACGTTTGGAGTCAGGACTCTTGAGTGTAAACCAGAGCAGCCACTGGTTACTTTGGGGAGACAAAACACAGGACACTGGGCACTGCTGCCTTACTCCTCCCAAACACAATGCTACTCAGTCCCTGTCCAGAGGAGAGTATTACCATTTCCTGCCATGATAGGCACATCTATGTACCATTAGAGGAGGAAGTTTTCAAGGATAAGGAGAGTCAAGCCAAGGTAGTATGGAGCACTGGGAAAAGGAGGAATTGCTAGCAAACAAGCAAGAGGAGATGCAACATACAGAGCTAGCGTAAAACATGGCCCTTACCACCGCTTTAAGAGTCCCACTTATCTTTCCCCAGACTGCAGAGGAAACTTAGAGAAAGAAAAGAACAGAGCTTCCCTAACTAATATTACGCACCCTTACCCAGCATCCTTTCTACAGTACCTTCCAATAATGAGCAAGGTAAGAGTCTACTTGGGAAACTCCCACTTCCCAAAGTCAGCACATGACCTGGGCCACTTATGGAGGTTTTTATTATGGATATATTTTTCTTTCACAGACTGAAGAATTCTCATATTCTTGAGTATATTTAAGTAGTATAGAACTGCACAAATCTTCCCACATTTCACACCTTTCCTAAGAAAACAGTATCACCTGTTCTCAAACAAAATAACCCAAGAGCATATATAGCCTCAAAAAGGCACACTATTATTTTTTAATAAATACATTTACACTCCTAGATTCACGTGACCAGAATCCATTAAAAAAGTCTATACAGGTGACTTTAAACAATGGACTATTTCAGAGTATTTTTTAAAAAGGTATGAATATAAACATAAATGAAAACATATTAAAACATTTATATGATTTATAATATTATATGTAGTTTTATATATATGTATATAATATTAAATAAAATATATCTATGAAATATATACATGCTTCTCCATCAACTGCAGGTTATCACAGGTAGCCAGGAGGACAGTATTGGCTATGCTGCAGTCAACGTACAGAGTAACTGGCTTGTTGCAGGTAACTAAGTTTGTGATATACCATTCACATTAAGTCAAATGAGGAGGGGCTGAGACCCACTACATATCCTACTGCCTCACCACAAAACTACTATAGCCCATCTCCTTACTGTAGGATATCACTTTCCCAGTGCTTCTTCCTGGGCCTGAAAGGAAGGAGCAACACAATTAGGAACACAGTGCTTAACCCAAAATTACCTGAAACAGAGGGAACCAGGCTCTTCTCTGTGGCAGCCGGTGACAGGACAAGGGGTAACAGGTAATAGGAAGTTTAATCTCCATATGAGGAGGAACTTCTTTACTGTGAGGGTGACAGAGCCCTGGAACAGGCTGCCCAGAGAGGTTATGGAGTCTCCTTCTCTGGAGATCTTCAAACCCGCCTGGATGCCACCCTGTGCCACGTGCTCTGGGTGTCCCTGCTGGAGCAGGGGGTTGGACTAGATGATCTCTAGAGGTCCCTTGCAACCTCAGCCATTCTGTGATTCTGTGAAATCTCGCCACTCAAGCCACAGGGCTGCCTATCCAGCTCATTTTACTATGCAACTGTTTGGAAAGCTATTTTAAACAATGTTCTCTAGACCAAGCTATCCAAAGCATTAACACTAATCACAGAACAACTTAAAGGGTCTGGTTTGTCTTCATAACACAAGTTACACAGAAAATACAATTGCATTAAAGGCAATTTCATTATCTGTTCAATAGTAAAAGTTCAAAAGGCTTCATGGATCCCAAACACTAGTCTCAGACTAAAATCACCCATTTCATCTATATCCTAGAGATTATACTGACCATAAACTCTCAGGTTCAAGCCTGCAACAAGATCACAGGAAGGGTCACGACTTCAAATATTAGTACACCAACAAATGGGAAGACAAACCCTTCATTGGCAAAACATCTCCCCACAGGTTTTAAAACTTCTCCAGACGTTTTATCAATGCTATTTCAGTAGTATCAATGCTACTACAGTGTAATATATAGTATGCACTGGTTCTCCCCGACCAACTTTCCCCAGGCTAAGGACCCATTTCTGCAGCATTCCAACTCCATCGCCAGGGAGAGGGGTGGCTGTTCTGCGCCCACACACCAGCACCAATGAATGGCATGCCCCCACCTCCCCATCCCAGTCAGGTAGAAACACAGACACCCAAATCTTGTCACGTCAGGTATCTGTGTGAACACAGTTCCTCTCCTTAGCCCTTGCAGGAATCCAGAGAACACTGAAAACATTTTTAATGACACACACAGGATTCTGAAATAGGACAGCAAGAGTTCATGTCAAAGACTGCAAACACAGGAGTTCAGATCTTCCGTGGGGCTGCGTACTTGAACAAGCACAACTTGCAAAGCCTATTTCTGAATGGAACCGTAATCACAAAAAAACACAAGCAAGCTTAAACATTACCACACACCACATACCACTCCACAATTGTGCATATATTGGAGGTTAGTGAGCTACAGAACATACAAGGGTAGCAAACAGATCACTGCAAGCTGCCTGAGCCCACCCACAACCACGGTAGCAAATGCTACTGTAAAAATTGATAAGATGCACTCGCATGTGGCTTCTTAATAAAGTACTCAGCTTTACCTCACTTGAGCAGAAGAGTTGGTCTTTCAGGGAGCAATGGCATTTCTTATGAAACACTTGCATATCTCCTGTTTGCTGCTCTTGAATTGTTCCCAGAACACTGTCTGTATCATCGCAATGTTCTCTGTTGGGAAGAATTCAAGGCATGCCAATCCACATTTCAGATAAGCTAATGTATTTCCCCAAACAGAACAAAGATACATATCTGTACCTATCTTCTTCCTCTCCACTGCAGTTGTTAAGATGACTTCACACATGGAATAGTTAAATACCCTTAAAAGCAATTACCATAATTTACTAACAAGCAGTGTTTCTATGCACATGCCCCTTTGCAGTTTCTGACAATTAGCTTAGTCCAGAATCTTACAAGAAAATTAAAATGCATAAATGACATCTCCAGTTTCTCTGTTTGGTGTTGGAAATTATGCAAGCCTCAAATACTTTAGCGGAGGTAATTTACACAGTCAGTGAGCAAATGTTCATCTTGAATAAAATGAGTCAACTCCCTTCAGGCAATTTTTCCTTAGAAATAATAATATTTGTATATAAAAGAGAAGAAGCGGTCAGTAAATTACAGATACACGTTTTATCTAGAAACAGAGGTTGAACCAAGACTTTGATTTATAATTACACTTCAACAAGCTACTTGTCACAGCAGCCCAGTAGTAAACACTGCTGAAGACTAAACAGCCTCCCTGCCCTACTTCTTAACAGCTTTGCAGCATGCAAGTCTCTACCTAAACCAAATGAAAAAAAATCAACTATTTTCAAATTACCAGTATATCCACAGTGTGGCTTTATTTTAATAGGACTCAGATCCCACCTACCCCTTCAGAAAAGCCTCCGTGGCTTCCTGGGACCTGCTGAGACCAAAGCAAAGCAGGCTGTTCCTGCATTACTGCTTGCCTCATGCAGACAAAGAAACCCACATCTAAATTCCCTCTAGTTCAATACATATAGTGTCCGAACGTTTCCCAACCCCTTGGGAAAAAAAAACAAACCACTTTCTGGGGTTCTTCCCAGCGCGGTGAAGAAACAGCACGATGAACTTAAACACATCTGCTTAGCTGCGCAGAGCAACGGCCACGTGCAGAAGTTGCTGCGGGAGCGCGGGGCGCGCAGCGGCGCCGGGAGCAGTGAAGCGCTCGCTCGCTTCCCGGCCCCG